GCTTACTCTCTGGCGCTACAAGTATCCGTGTTGGTACCGACACTTTTTCTTCTGTATAGGAACTGGAACACAGGGAACCGGTAGCAATGACCTTATAAAACTTAACTGGCATTCCTTTGCTACCAGTAGATCTGAAACGGAATGCAGGGCTTCCCTCAGTTCATAAATTTCTGTTTCCATTCTTCCAATTTTCTTTTCTAGGGCTTTGTTTTTCGTACCCGCGTCTGAGAGTTTGTCTTCCAGGTTTGTAACGTGCAATTTCTTTCTCTCCTTCTCGTCCTTATCATTTTTCCACGCATCTGAGTGTTTACTCTCTAGGGAAAGAAGATGTTCTTGCTGTGTATCAATTGTTTTCAAACTCCGTATTTTATCTTTTTATTAAGCGCTCTTGTGATGTTGGTTAACTGAAGGCTTTGCGGATAAATAATTTATCGCATTTACAGACTCATTCTGAGATTCAATGCCGTAAAACGGTAATTCCATGGCGCACTTATGTTGAAAATTAAATTCATTCCTGAATGAATAAAATTCTGTTACATTTCAAATAAATTTTGTAAAATTTAATTTGTGACAATCGGCTAGCTGCAGATCTGTAGCTCGCTAGCTGGTCTGAAAAAATTGGGATGGATCACCAGAGAACTACAGTGCCACCCATATTAAAAAGTATATATTAATTGCTTACAAAAAATTGCGCTTGGTTCTGGATTAATTTCTCCGAATTCTTACCTCAACTGCATAAAAGATGGATTTCAAAATGTTCCAGAGACCTCTATCAAGTACTAGTACTTGACATGTGCAAGAAGCTCGTTGGGCCGAAGAATTTTGCCACCCAAAATGGAAGAATAATTGAACGATATTTTCGATATCTCAAATTCAGGCTCAGGAGGACTATTAATTACGGTTGTAAGGAACGTTTTGCTGAAGAAAAATTGATTGATTGATTGATTGTATACTGTTTAACGTCCCTCTCCAGAATATTTCAATGATATGGAGACGTCACTATTGCCGGCGAAGGGCTGCAAATTTAGGCCTTTGCTCGGCACTTATGGTCTTCGAGCAGGGAGAGATTTTTATCGTGCCACACCTACTGTGACACGGGGCCTCGGTTTATACGGTCTCATCCGAAGGACCGCCCCATTTAGTCGCCTTTTACGACAAGCAAGGGGGTACTGAGGACCTTTTCTAACCCGGATCCTCACGGGGCTAGAAAAATTGAAGGTATATGCTAGAGACACACGGTAAGTAATATTTTTAGATTGCAGCAGTTGAAAAACACGGATATTGAATATAGCTTCAGCGCAGTTTTTTTGTGCACTTTAAATACACTCTTTTTTAATGGGCGGCACTGTAGCTCTTTTGCCTGACAATATAGCTAAATTTCTGTGAAAGTGAAAGGTTGGACTTTATATATATACGATGTAGGTACTGACGGCTTTTAAGCATACGCAGAAATACCGAGAAAATGAACAATATTTCAGCCCAAATGTTTAAAGCAATATAAATCACTAGCATCACAAAGACAGACTTTTAAAAAAAAAAAAATCAGAGGTAGAATCAGTCGAATTTAATCTTTTTATGACACCACCTGCCCCGTAACGAGACAGTTGTGTGTATGCTCTTGTCGAAAGGACCGGTCTCCGCGTCTTGAATCCCCAACGTACATATAATCCATGTACTTGAATAATACATGTATGTATTGATAAGTCTTTAAGGAAATCTCATGAAGGAAACTTACTTTATATTCTAATATTTTCTAATTTTTTTTATTATTCGTATTTCTCAATTTATCATGCTCAAATTACATTTATTTATTTCTTAGGGTATTAAACCGTATTCGTTAGCCAGTCTGTCCATCTGTCATGAGAACTTTAAACTTGAAAATAACTAATGAATGAGTTGAAATAGGACTCTCATATTTCACATGTGCATTATTTGTGACATGTGAGTTTCAAATATACTGTGATTTTTTATCCTGTGACCTTGATCTTGCAGCTTGACCTACTTAAAAAAATAACATTACATGTACTTTAAATAGACTATAACTTTTGAAAGCTTCCATTTTATAAACATGTATTACCTGTGACAACGCCTTTCAAAATTCACTATGATTTTTTACCCTTTGACCTTGAAGTTTGACCTGCTTTTCGAAAACATTAACGATAGCAATACCCTTTGAATGAGAAGAGATTGGGCTTTTTTTACCCCTGTGTATTACCTGAGACAACACTTTTCTAAATACACTGACTTTTAACAACGCGACCTTGAGGCTTGGCTTACTTTTCACAATTTTAACCTTGATCATAACTTTTGAATGAGAAGAGAAAGGGCTTTTATATTACACAAAAATCACATGCACGTTACCTGTGATAAAATCATTTCAAATACTAGTATACAGACACGTAGCAACAGGGGGGCCTGCCCCACCCCCCATTTTATTCCCCAACCTTACTTACATGTATTCTATAGGAAATGTGTGTTGAAAGTCAAGTTGCCCCCCCCCCCCCGCCCACTATTAGTGATTTACGAAAAAAATTTAGTTTAAAATTTTAAAATTTGGTATTGAAAGTAGTTGACATTGAAAAAAAAGTTGGCCTCTACCGCCCCCCCCCCCCCTCCCCCTCTCCCCTGTCCGCAGCTCCGACGGAAGACCTACTCGTTGCTTTGCAACGAGCTGGGGTCTAGTTTTAATTAACTTTCTTTTTTCCACTAAAATTTGTGATACATGCTTACACGGTTGGACACCGTTTTCTGTACTTTGCAAAACATTAATATACCAAAAAGTATCAATTGGGAAATACGTCACAGTGTTCTTAGGATGCAGATTTCAAGACGTTTTTACCCTTTTGAGAAACTTTGTTAAGTTTTATTTGTAATATCTAATTCCCTCTACATCTTTTACAACTGAAAATATAAATTTTTGTTTTGATCTGTACATTTTACTATCACGAAATATTTGTTAAACTTATTGTTAATCATCTAAAATCATCTAAAAAGATTTTGATATCCACGTTCCTCTATGCCTTTTGTCTTCATATGTTTGGTATTATATATCGAAGTGTCATGCAGCATTTCTTTTCTATGAAAGACTATAAGTGTCAAAATCTTTATGTAGCTATTATCGTTAAGGATTGTAAGGAATTAATAAAAATTACCCCACAAATACATCATTCCAATAATTCTAATTGGGTTAAAATTTCTGAAGATTGAGCGACCAAACTTTAGTATAAGAAAAATGTGGTTTAATTCAAGTATTTTATTTTAACATAAGCGACACATAAGTACAAATTAATCTGGAAGAATACGGTAATCATGAACTCGATCGGAATCTTACAAGTAGTCATTACAGAGACAACACTACAGAGACACATAAATGAAACCTGCGCTACCTGAAGATGAACGATGATTAACAGAAAATGTATTTATATATTGTGCTATTCTTTATAAAATCACTGAAAGTGGTGAAAATATCCCCTGAATGTATACAAAAAAAAAATAATAAAGGAGTCCGAGAATCAATGCTTCTGAAATTCAAACAGTTCTTCTTTAAAATGTATTAAGTATTAGACAATACAAGTACAAATTCTATAGAAGTATTGAAATAACAAATCTTCAATATTATTATTTTTTTCTGCAGAGAAACTGAAGTTGTAATACTCGAAAATACAAATACAAAGAGCTATATTCACAATAAAATTTTAGAGACTTCTATTCTATTCTTCAATAAACCTTTCCCAACAATTAAAACCTCGCAATTTCAATTCTCAGAGTAATACATGTACAGTGTATCGTGCTATCCAAACATATGCCAATTTAGTAACACTCGCTTTCAAAAAGCTTTATATCCTGTATACAACAGTCACTATACGTATATGGAGATAACGAACAATATCCAAGCTGAAACATTAATTTGAAAACAATACAATTCAGGAGCAGAGCAATCACAGCCCTCTAAAACACCAGAGACGGAATTAGGTGTCATTCATGAGTGAGCATCCCTTGCAAACCGGTCACATCCGCCGTGTGCTCTTTGTCAAGATCGAGAAATAAAGGAAAAATCCGTTGTATACGAGTATATTACAGTCTAAAATTAGTATGAAAATCTCTGTTAGCATTTGATTTAATGATAGATTGCATTTTCTGACAGTGTCAGTGTATCATCATCAGAATCAGAAAATTTTATTTAGAGTCGGATTTTACAACATAAACATAAGCTCTGAAGAGCTTTTGACCGAAATAGAGCTTCTGACCAACATCATAGGAAATAATGAGTTTAAACGAGACTGTTCATAAAGCTTGGTTGTTGGAATGTAATTATCTGTTAATGGAACACTAAAACATTTTTTTCTAGCTCGGTTAATACTTGCCAGGTATCTTTCCTTCATGTTAAAGATTAAGAGTAAATGATAACGGAAAAACTTAGAACTGCTTGTAAAAACTTCTCAGAATAACGTTAATACGACGAAAAATGAAATATTCATGTGATAAAGAACAATAATACAGCTTCAAAGTCTATCAAAGCAATACCAATGAAGAGGAAAACAAACATAGACCTCTTAAAATTTCAGAGGTGAGATCAGGTTCCATGAAGGAGTAAGCATTCTCTGTCAACTGGTCACATCCACTGTGAGCTTCCTATTTAATTGCCTTGACGAGAAAATGGAAACATCCCTGGTCAATTCAGTGTGAAAATAATAGTATAACAATTACATTGAAGTATGGAAACGTCAGCCAGCATTCGACTATATGTTAGATTGTATTTGCCACGAGGTCATCCTATCGATCATAGACCTTGCAAAATAATGTCTTTAAACAATATTTTTGATTCATCAACTTGTTTGTTAATAACTTGCCTCGTCTTAAAAACTGTTATAAACCCTATATTAAAGTGATCAAGATGTATTACTACAAAGGGAAGGGACTTTGACGATAGGAAGGTCGAAGTCATCACGTTTATCAGAAAGTCTTGTTTCTCATTAACATCTTTTTGTAATTAGATAAAAAGGACAGAGAGCAGTGTAACTTATTTTCGAGCACACAGTTTTCTGATGTCTTTAAGAAGTTTAGAAGTCTGCCGAATCAATACAGGAGCATCAGCCAGGGCCATTCCAGCAAGAAATAAGGCTATAAAGACGACTCCCACGTAACCTGTCACGGAGGCTGACGGCCGCTCGTCGTCAGCGCTGATCTTCTTGTTTATTGTGGAGGAGAGATTCTTTGTGTTGACGCTGAGGAGGCGCTTGAGTTGAGCCAACCTTTCACTCAGTTCATAGTATTGTCCCAGCTGGTTTGTCTCATTTCTCCAGTACACGACTTTGTCCATGTAGTCACAGGAACAGGGGCACATAGCTACAATGTAAATAAAAACTGGCACTGAAGGAAAAAAAATCCTCATGGTTTCAGTATTTGACTTGTAATTTTTAACTGTTTTGTAGTTGTACATCGACGAAGAAAAAATGATATCAAGCTACAATCTAAGCAAAAACTGTTACTGAACGAAATAAATCACCATGGTTTCAGTATTTGACATGTAATTTTTAAGTTTTGTAGTTGTACATCGACGAAGAAAAACATATCTTTTTTTCTTTAAATAAGGCCATTTTTGATCATTAAAAAATCTCACAGAAAATACAGTTTTTGCTGATGAAATCCGTTAAATCAATTATTTTTACTAATTTTATGCCTTATGCTGTCTTTACCTATATCTTGACCACTTGAACCTTCAAAAAACCCAATAACACTGGTTGGCAGAATTGACGACTACAGTGAGGCTTATTTTTAAACATGGCAGGACTTAACAGGTATATTGGTGAAATACAGTACTTGCATTATTATTATAAATCATTGTGTTATTATGATAACTAGTATCATCAAAGCAAATTCATTTACATAATTATTCACAGATTTTAAGCATTCCCAAAGTGCGATAAGATATTTAATACACATTTCTTTTACTTATAACAAAACTCATTAATTCTCCCCCCGTACCGGTTTGTGTTTGATCTTCCACTGACGTCACCGTGGAACTAGGGATAGCATTTGTGGTTACTGTTGTTGATGTTGTGGCTGATTCTGATGTTGAGGATTGCGATGTTGTTGGATCATCTATTTCAGATTAATCTCAAATTTAATACAGTTTGTGAATATAAATATATTAGTTTCACATTTCACTTTATATAAATAAATGAATTGCTTACTTATTTACTGAGAGACAATAGATTGTAAAATTTATTTGTAAACTACAGAGGAATATCATATCAAATTAAAAACTGCTAAATTGTTATTATGAAAAAAATCATGAAGCAAAATCATCATAAATATCAAAATATTCAAACAAATAAGATACTTAATACACATTTTTTCGTTATAACAGAATTGTTTTTTTCTCCTCCCGTACCGGTTGATGTTTGATCTTCCAATGACGTCACCGTGGAACTACGGATAACATTTGTTGTTACTGTTGTTGATGTTGTGGCTGATTCTGATGTTGGGGATTGCGATGTTGTTGGATCATCTATTTCAGATTAATCTCAAATTTTATACAGTTTCGATTATATATATATATATATATATATATATATATATATATATATATATATATATATATATATATATATATATATATATATATATATATATATATATATACTAAAAATGACCAACGACACGAACAATAAAAATTGTCAAATTTTCGGGACGCCCTGTCCCTTCCTCAGGACAAAGAAAAAAGTTAAAAAGTCATAAGAACAAAGGAAAAAGAGAAACAAAAACAACTAGCACTACTACTAAACTACTAAACACTAGATATTTACATACTTAATTACATGATGAATAAGAAATTTTTAAGAACACTAATAAAGAAAGAAATCCGGACCGCTATGAAATGCGTCCGGTCTATCGGGTATACTCGGGCTTCCAATTCATCATGTAATTAAGTATGTAAATATCTAGTGTTTAGTAGTTTAGTAGTAGTGCTAGTTGTTTTTGTTTCTCTTTTTCCTTTGTTCTAATGACTTTTAAACTTTTTTCTTTGTCCTGAGGAAGGGACAGGGCGTCCCAAAAATTTGACAATTTTTATTGTTCGTGTCGTTGGTCATTTTTAGTGCTTTATATAAATTTCCATCCGTGACCTTGTATCTACTTGGTAGATCCGACATTTTGGATATACAGTGTTGTTGGTTTTTTAGTGCTTTATATATATATATATATATATATATATATATATATATATATATATATATATATATATATATATATATATATATATATATATTATATATATATTTCTAAAGATAAATAAATTACTTACTTACTTATTTACATCAATAGATTGTAAGATTTATTTACACACTAGAAGAATATGATAGCAAATTTAAAACTGCTAAGTTGTTAATATGAAACAAAAAAAAAACAAAAATAAAAACAAAACCAAAAAAAACACGAAAAAAAAATCATCATAAATATCAAACTATTAAAAAAATAAAATATTAATTTACATCCTCTCGTCATAACAGGACTTATTGTTTTTTCTCCCCCGTACCGTTTTGTGTTTGATCTTCCACTGACGTCACCGTGGAACTAGGGATAACATTTGTGGTTACTGTTGTTGATGTTGTGGCTGATTCTGATGTTGGGGATTGCGATGTTGTTGGATTATCTATTTTAGATAAAATGATAATAGGATATTAGTGGTTTAAAGGGATATTTTTCTTTGCTGCTTTAGGAATTAACATGCCATTTAATCAAGAATCATATTATATGACACATATTAAATACTACTTATTTGGTAGAACTTAAGGTCATACGCAACGTAGTTTGAACTTTATTGGGTTCTTCCTTGAAGTTGAAGTGTTTCACTAAATAAAGGACCCGTGTGCAATACTTTTAATGTTATATGGATATGTACATCTCTTCTTTAACAAATTTTGATGAAAAAAATCTGGAATTTATTCTTTGTAATTTTTGTACATTTTTCTTCTGAAAAATGCAAAATTTTTCCTAATTTGATATCTTTTCAAAACTCCTGGTAACACATGCTAAATTTTTGTCTGAGAACATATAATAATATTATAAGTTTAAGTTTAGAATATCTTGAAAAGTTATCAGTAGGTAAGGTACCTTGCGTATGTTCTTAAGTTGAATATCATATGTCTATTGATGAAATTTGGATGAAAGAAAACCCACACTGTTGCTATTGTTACGAAGAAGGGAAGATGTTCGATTTTATAAGCTTTATATCAATATAAGATTAAACCCTATGTGCCAGCTCCTTGCATCCAATTAGAGATTGGATGATAGTCAAAATTAAAAGTCGGGCTAGTTGTTCACAAATATTAATCATCAAAGTTTTGTGAACCTTCATTTAAGGGTAGGTATCAAAGGAAACATTTTTTTCAGATTTTTAATTATGTATTTTCTGCTTATTCAAATTGCAATTCTTTATTTAAAGAGTTTGATTTGATTTTTAAATTTGATGATTAATTCCACACCAACATCCTGAAAAACAGATGTGTCAGACTCTTTGGTATCTTTTATCTCAAGCATATCACCGGAATATATAGTATCGAAGTAAGAATAACAATTGTTAATGGACAATACGTCGTCGATATATCTAAATGTAGAGTTGAAGGCCACAGCAAGTGTTTTCTCCTTTTCACGTATAAGATTTTGGACAAATTCTGCTTCATATGAATACAAAAATAGCTAATATCTGGTACGGATGGGAATGCCAATAGATTGTTGGAAGACATGGTCTCCAAAAACCACATAGCTATTGTCAATCAGAAACTAAAGCAGCTTTTTGATATCAACTTCAGAGTACTTATGTATTCTTTCAACAAAATAATTTTGCAAATGACCCAATGTCAAGGTAAGTTTAAATTTACGAGTTCCCTTTTTAGTGAAAAAGCAGCTGTCAATTATATCAAAAAGCCTGGATTTTGATTTATTGTGGGGAATGGTTGTGTTGACCGTCGTAACTTTGTAAGCGGTTGATTTTGGTAAAATTTTGTGACTTCAAATTATCCAAAAGTTCCTTGGATTTTTAAGTATGCATATCTGATTTACACCACTTCTTGAATATAGTGTTGCACGGTTTCTCACTCACTACTGTTAATAACTTAGTGAGGAGGAAAGAAAGAGGCTTGGTTGAGCATGTACTGGAACCTGTATCTTTCTTTGTAAGGATTTTTATGAAGTTTCGGAATCCAATATAGATATATGGTAGTTCAAATTCATTTTGGTTCTTTGGGATCTTAAAAATAAACAGAAACGACATATGATTTTGAAGAATTTTTCCTTAGAAATCTATCTTTATTTCGCTCAATTATGTAATCAGGAGAATTAATTTTTGCTTCTACAACTACTTTGCATACATGTAGCTTAGGAATAAATCATATAGGAAAAATATTGAGTAAAGAATAAAATGAGCCATATATCTTTGAGGAAGACAATAAACGACAGAATACTAATGAATGTCATAGAATCACGCTTGATAACATAACAATTAAACCGAAAGAAAGAAATTACCTGCAACTAACGCCGTGCAACTTGGATCATCTGTAATAGATACCCTTTGATAATTAAAGATATATATGCCGTGTTAAACAGTATTTTTGCACAGCTGAAACCAAACAAAAATTTCTGAAATATGATAAGCTATAAAAAATGAAGCATTCTTGCAATTTCGACGAAATATTATTCGTTATTAACAAAGTACTGGTCAGGAAAAGAACATGATTTTCTAATGCATATTTATGAAGGATTGACGTTTATGCTGGATCTGCACATGTGCGCAGGAAAGTATCGCGAGAATCATCAGGTCGAGGAAATATTTTCAATGAATTTGATCATAGGTTACTACATAAAATACTACATGTGTTTTTCGAAAAGGCTAGTTTTTTAAAATCGTTCTCGGAAAGACGTGATGCATTTTTCCAAGCATTTTACACGCTTAATGCAATATGTGTACTACATTATTATCTACTAATCCCATGCTCACATATACATACAAATGATTAACAATGATAAAAATTAGGGTTTTCCCCACTCCATTGTACAAGTCCGCTTGTTAACAGCTTACCCCGTGCTGCACTGTCAGTGAAAAGTCAATTTCACGTGACTATTCCTCGGTACAAAAAGCAACCAACTCTGAGGTGTGCTCACGTATTGACAATGTTTACAACGTATACAACTTCGAAACACATAGACGAGTATTTTAATCAATACACGTTCAACGGTCAATACACATGAGGGAATTTTTTTTTCAAAAACGTGCAACTTGAGTCTTTATTTTTATAAATGCAACTTAAGTCTTTTTATTTTTATAAATGCATGAACTTTAAATTTTTAGTAACAAATAACTGAGCAACAACCAATTCAACCAGTTACATTGCAAATTTACGAATATCGAGTTGAAAAACTGGAGTCTTATTTACTTGTGGAGATTTTGTGAACGATATTTCAAAGTACTTTTTAACAAGGGAAACTGAATTTGTTTGTTAATTCTTAATTAGTATCTATTCTTCGTATTTTTCTCAAACACGTTTCAAAAAATTGTAAATTAGCTTTTAAGCAGTCACTTGAAATCGCATCCAAAATTTCCTTAACCCACGTGTTTGTAGTAAACATAAACATGTAGTAGACCATCATGCTTTTCGGCTCATTCACGAGATTGGATTATTGTTTGCTGTGAGCATGAATATTTCAATAAGAGGCGGTTTAACATCCGACTCGGAGAGAAAATAATTTTTACCAAATAATATTTCACAACTATTTAAAGTGATACTGTGGGATTGTCCTATTTGCAGAAAGTAAATAACTTATATAACTTGATGAGATACCACATATATTTATTCCTTTAAAAATAAAACACTGATACGGCATATATATCTTTAACTAAATATCACAGAAAAAAGAAAGTAATGCAGACGTATTGCAATATGGTTATCAAAGAATAATCAATGTACATGTATATATGTAATATAATGAAGGTTCAAATGAAACAAAAGGTTACAAATTGATTAGTTAAAAAAAGAGGACAGTGGGCCACAATGCTTACCTCAGTAACCTGGTATCCTGCTTCTTTTCATAAGAAAAATTATTTCCTTTTCATGCACATTCAAGAACACTCCCAAATTATATATACGTACATTCCAGTTCTAAGGATTTATGACAACAAATGTGAGCTTGCAGTTCTGGAGATTTTTCAAATGAATACTGAGTAATGTATGATTTTTCCCAGGATATTCAACATTAGAGTAATTGCCATAGTCTCCATTATCAAAACATCACACCTTAAATTGCACCCAAACAACATGGAAATATTTGTGGAAAATTACACGTAAACTTTAGTCATTGATGAATCCTTCACTGCTCTGTGACCATAAATGCTTAGTACTGGTATAAATTTATATTGTTCGAGCGGCAAAGTGATCCACACATGAACGCTTAATACTCGAAAGTGAAACCGTGGTATTAAGCAAAAAATACATGTACTACAACCAAACAGACTCAACATGTCTGCATATAATGTTTAAGATTATTAAAGTTGTTTTCCTATATGTAAGACTTTAAGCTTTTATCAATTGTGACCCTTCTCTCCCCTATACAGGAAATGTTTCTTATGGACGTGGACCTGCATTACATATGTTACATGCACATTTACCAGACAATTTATGGTCTAGCTGTTCTTGTGAAGATCTTTTTTGTCTTTACCCATATATTTTCAAGTTAAACTTAGAAACCTACAGTACCTTTTCTGTTTATCCCAATGGGTCTCACATACATTAAGAAATTTTCCATAGGTATCATCATTTCCCCTGTATACATTTAGTTTTGTAGTTGAAGTAAAGGATATGGAGATAACGAACAGTATTGAATATCAAAGTCCATAAAACATTACAAATTAGGAGTATACCAAACACGGACCGCCAATACGTCAGAGGTGGGATCAGGTGCCATGGAGGAATGAGCATCCCCTGCAGACCGGTCACACCCGCCGTGTGCTTCTTATCATGATCAGGAAATAGCGGAAAAATCTGTCGTCAATTCGATGGATAAATAATGGACTAACAATAAGTATGAAAAACGTCAGACAGCATTTGATTTCATGATAAATTGTATTTGCTGACGAGGTCATTGTATCGATCATAGAAATTATTTAATAAAATATTTCGCTATGACCATACCTTTTCCTGAAAGACTGCAAAGTCCTTAAAATGAGTAAGCTTTGCTGAAATAATTTAACATTCTAAATTTGAGAACTTACTACTTAAATATTAATTCTTGCACATGTAAAGTACTAAATAATACATGTATGTATTGATCAGTCTTTAAGGAAATCTCATGAAGGAAACTTACTTTATATTCTAATATTTTCTAATTTTTTTTATTATTCGTATTTCTCGATTTATCATGCTCAAATTACATTTATTTATTTCTTAGGGTATTAAACCGTATTCGTTAGCCAGTCTGTCCATCTGTCATGAGAACTTTAAACTTGAAAATAACTATTGAATGAGTTGAAATAGGACTCTCATATTTCACATGTGCATTATTTGTGACATGTGATTTTCAAATATACTGTGATTTTTTATCCTGTGACCTTGATCTTGCAGCTTGACCTACTTAAAAAAATAACATTACATGTACTTTAAATTGACTATAACTTTTGAAAGCTTCCATTTTATAAACATGTATTACCTGTGACAACGCCTTTCAAAATTCACTATGATTTTTTACCCTTTGACCTTGAAGTTTAACTTGCTTTTTAAAAATATTAACAATAGCAATACCCTTTGAATGAGAAGAGATTGGGCTTTTTTTACCCCTGTGTATTACCTGAGACAACACTTTTCTAAATACACTGACTTTTGACAACATGACCTTGAGGCTTGGCTTACTTTTCACAATTTTAACCTTGATCATAGCTTTTGAATCAAAAGAGAAGGGGCTTTCATATTACACAAAAATCACATGCACGTTACCTGTGATAAAATCATTTCAAATACTAGTATACAGACACGTAGCAACAGGGGGGCCTGCCCCCCCCTCCCATTTTATTCCCAAACCTTACTTATTCTATAGGAAATGTGTGTTGAAAGTCAAGTTCCCCCCCCACTATTAGTGATGTACGAAAAAAAATTAGTTTAAAATTTTAAAATTTGGTATTGAAAGTAATTGACATTGAAAAAAAAGTTGGCCTCTACCGCCCCCCCCCCCCATCCCTCCCCTGTCCGCAGCTCCGACGGAAGACCTGCTCGTTGCTTTGCAACGAGCTGGGGTCTAGTTTTAATTAACTTTCTTTTTTCCACTAAAATTTGTGATACATGCTTACACGGTTGGACACCGTTTTCTGTACTTTGCGAAACATTAATATACCAGAAAGTATCAATTGGAAAATATGTCACAGTGTTCTTAGGATGCAGATTTCAAGATGTTTTTACCTTTTTCAGAAACTTTGATAAGTTTTATTTGTAATATCTAATTTCCTCTACGTCTTTTACAACTGAAAATATAAATTTTTGTTTTGATCTGTACATTTTACTATCACGAAATATTTGTTAAATTTATTGTTAATCATCTAAAATCATCTAAAAAGATTTTGATATCCACGTTCCTCTATGCCTTTTGTCTTCATATGTTTGGTATTATATTTCGAAGTGACATGCTGCATTTCTTTTCTATGAAAGACTTTAAGTGTCAAAATCTTTATGTAGCTATTATCGTTAAGGATTGTAAGGAATTAATAAAAATTACCCCACAAATACATCATTCCAATAATTCTAATTGGGTTAAAATTTCTGAAGATTGAGCGACCAAACTTTAGTATAAGAAAAAGAAAAATGTGGTTTAATTCAAGTTTTTTATTTTAACATAAGCGACACATAAGTACAAATTAATCTGGAAGAATACGGTAATCATGAACTCGATCGGAATCTTACAAGTAGTCATTACAGAGACAACACTACAGAGACACATTAATGAAACCTGCGCTATCTGAAGATGAACGATGATTAACAGAAAATGTATTTATATACTGTGCTATTCTTTATAAAATCACTGAAAGTGGTGAAAATATCCCCTGAATGTATTAAAAAAAATCATAAAGGAGTCCGAGAATCGATGTATCTGAAATTCAAACAGTTCTTCTTTAAAATGTATCAAGTATTAGACAATACAAGTACAAATTCTATAGAAGTATTGAAATAACAAATCTTCAATATTATTATTTTTTTCTGCAGAGAAACTGAAGTTGTAATACTCTAAAATACAAATACAAAGAGCTATATTCACAATAAAATTTTAGAGACTTCTATTCTATTCTTCAATAAACCTTTCCCAACAATTAAAACCTCGCAATTTCAATTCTCAGAGTAATACATGTACAGTGTATCGTACTATCCAAACATATGCCAATTTAGTAACACTCACTTTCAAAAAGCTTTATATCCTGTATACAACAGTCACTATACGTATATGGAGATAACGAACAATATCCAAGCTGAAACATTAATTTGAAAACAATACAATTCAGGAGCAGAGCAATCACGGCCCTCTAACACATCAGAGATGGAATTAGGTGCCATTCATGAGTGAGCATCCCCTGCTAACCGGTCACACCCGCCGTGTGCTCTTTGTCAAGATCGAGAAATAAAGGAAAAATCCGTTGACAATATGGTTCATGTATACGAGTATATTACAGTCTAAAATTAGTATGAAAATGTCTGTTAGCATTTGATTTAATGATAGATTGCATTTTCTGACAGTGTCAGTGTATCATCATCAGAATCAGAAAATTTTATTTAGAGTCGGATTTTACAACATAAACATAAGCTCTGTAGAGCTTTTGATCGACATAGAGCTTCTGACCGACATCATAGGAAATGATGAGTTTGAACGAGACTGTTCATAAAGCTTGGTTGTTGGAATGTAATTATCTGTTAATGGAACACTAAAACATTTTTTTCTAGCTCGGTTAATACTTGCCAGGTATCTTTCCTTCATGTTAAAGATTAAGAGTAAATGATAACAGAAAAGCTCAGAACTGCTTGTAAAAACTTCTCAGAATAACGTTAATACGACGAAAAATGAAATATTTATGTGATAAAGAATAATAATTCCAATCTTCATTGTATCTATTGATTTCCTCTGTTTTGATTGGACGAGAACACGATTAAGAAAATTTTTACACGTCGATAAATTTTTTTTCAATCAGAACTACTTTCTTGACTAAGCTTCTACATGTAGTTTATCGTATAAACAACGAAAGCAGTTATTTCTTGTCTGTTTTGGATAAATTATAAATACAAGAAACTTCAAATTTAATTAATTAAAACAAAACTGGCGACATGCTAGGCTGCCCAGCTGACGGACGCCATGAAAATGTTAATGTCACTGTTCGATCACGAGTGTGAATTTTAAAAATCGCTGTCTCAACGTTCATAATACGAAGATATAATCAACTCAGTTTGTATCGTTTAGACAGGGAAAAGAAACGTACCTCAAACTTTTGCCCTATAGGCATCAAATTCATATTTAAGGTCTTCCGTTTCCAACGGAAGACCTTCTACTGATTCTGTTGGTAAAGATTATTATTCTTTTTCTTTTCTTCTACTTCCTAGACGCCAACTATGAAGACTCTTATCTCACTCATTTCTCAATTGATTTCGCTCAAATGTACTAAACTCTATCAGAATGCTGTCTAAAATTTCAAAAAGTCACTTTCGGTTTTGAGTTATTTCCCTTTAAATGGAAATTTATAGGCTTTCGTTTCCAGACAAAGGCTCAGAGACGGCTAAAGCTGGAGCACAAATTCTACTGATTTTAGATAATAGAAGGATTGAAGTTGTGCACATCGGTTTATGTTTTTCGATTTCTCTATTCAAAATGGCGCTATATAGGGGTCAAAAATTAAAACGCTTAAATGAGCCAAAAATTACTCATATTTTGCTTTTTATCTTCTAAACTAAAAATATTTTGTGAAGATATATAGAACATAATTTGTGCAGAATTAGAAGATCTTTCAAATGGTACCTCGGAAAAAGGGCTGGCCCCTAAAATTAAGGGCCAAGAGGGGCCAAAATTTTTTCCTTTATATCTCAAAAAGTATTGAGAATTTGTAATACGTCAAAGAAGCAAAGTTGTTCAAGATGTCAAGCTCAATCTATTGAGGTCGTCAAAGTACGTACGGCGACGTCACTTTCGGCCAAACCGGAAGTAGTCGGAAAACGCATATTTTGCCATTCTTGACAAGTTTTTGGGTAACAACTGTCACTGGGAGCTTAAAAATTAATTTTCTCCGTCGTCGTCACTTCCGGTCAAACCGGAAGTAGCAAAAATGGCTGATTTTTGCATTAAATAACATAGATTTCGAGGATTTAAACAATTTTAGGACGTTATTACTCATTTTTGTGAAAATGAATGTTACTTCCGGTCAAAACAAGACGGAAGACCTTCTCGTTGCTTTGCAACGAGCTTTGCTCTAGTTACTTTCTATATTGTTCCTCAATCTTTCAACAAACAAGTGCAAATCGAAGGGGTCGTCGGTCTGCAACTTTCGCTATGAGAGTTGTCGTTAATGTTAACATGGCCATGGTCAAGGACGAACTCTTCTGAAGTAAACTCGTAATTACGATATGTGTTGACTTAAACAACATTCGATAAGTCTTTATAAGTTTATTTATCGATTATTTTGACAATTTAAGCTGAACTCTATCGAAATTCATCTCGATTACGTTCCTTTGCGGTAAAATGTATTCCTACGCCGTCCAGAACTAACGAATTGTATGGAGGCCTCAAAGAGAAATAATTTTTAAAAATTCGATATTGGAATTATAAGAATTAAACGTTCTTTTTGAAAAATTTATCGATGTGTAAACTCTTGACATTTTACTTACAAACTTAACATAAAAGTGCTTTGCACTTTTATTCAGTTTGTGAGTAAAATGTCAAGAGTTTACACATCGATAAATTTTTCAAAAAGAACGTTTAATCCTATAGTAATACAGCTTCAAAGTCTATCATATCAATACCAATGAAGAGGAAAACAAACATAGACCTCTTAAAATTTCAGAGGTGAGATCAGGCTCCATGAAAGAGTAAGTGGAGCCAGTAAAAACGTCCCGGTCAAAGCGTCCCCTAATTTTAGTCAAAGCGCCCCTAACATATTTTTATACAAAAATTATCTCCCGCAAATATTGGTCAAAGCGTCCCCTAATTTTAGTCAAAGCGTCCCCTGATTTAAGTCAAAGCGCCCCATGATTTTGGTCAAAGCGTCCCTTAACATTTTTTATAGAAAAAAATACCGCCCGCAAATATTGGTCAAAGCGTCCCCTAATTTAAGTCAAAGCGTCCCCTGATTTAAGTCAAAGCGCCCCCCTGATTTTGGTCAAAGCGTCCCTTAATATTTTTTTATAGAAAAAAATACCGCCCGCAAATATTGGTCAAAGCGTCCCCTAATTTTAGTCAAAGTGTCCCCTGATTTAAGTCAAAGCGCCCCATGATTTTGGTCAAAGCGTCCCCTAACATATTTTTATAGAAAAAAATACCGTCCCCAAATTTTGGTCAAAGCATCCCCTGATTTTAGTCAAAGCGTCCCCTGATTTAAGTCAAAGCGCCCCCTAATATATTTTCGCAGAAAAAAAAACGTCAGTCGATCCCCAAGAAATGGTCAAAATGTCCCCTGATTTGGTCAAAGGGCCCCTTTATAGAATTTTTTCGGGTAACTGCAAAACAATGATAATATTATAAATACAAAACTTTTTTTTTACCGTAACATGTTTGTAAAAATATATTAGGGGGCGCCTTGACCAAAATCAAGGGACGCTTTGACCAAAATCAGGGACGTTTTGACCATTGCTTGGGGACGGTTCCAAGACGATTTTTTCTAAGAAAAAATGTAAGGGTGCGCTTTGACCAAAATCAGGGGACGCTTTGACCAATATTTGGGGGCGTTTTGACCAATATTTGGGGGCGGTTTTGTAACATCATTTTACTGTAAAATTCTATAAGGGGCGCTTTGACCAAAATCAGGGGACATTTTGACCAAAATCAGGGGACGCTTTGACCAAAATCAGGGGACGCTTTGACCGGGACGGTTTTATTAGGGGGCGCTTTGACTGGATTTCGTCGCAAATACAATCTAACATATAGTCGAATGCTGGCTGACGTTTTCATACTTCAGTGTAATTGTTATACTATTATTTTCACACTGAATTGTCCAGGGATGTTTCCGTTTTCTCGCCGAGGCAATTAAATAGGAAGCTCACAGTGGATGTGACCAGTTGACAGAGAATGCTTACTCCGAAATCCAGTCAAAGCGCCCCCTAATTAATTGCCTTGGCGAGAAAACGGAAACATCCCTGGACAATTCAGTGTGAAAATAATAGTATAACAATTACACTGAAGTATGAAAACGTCAGCCAGCATTCGACTACGTGTTAGATTGTATTTGCAACGAGGTCATCCTATCGATCATAGACCTTGCAAAATAATGTCTTTAAACAATATTTTTGATTCATCAACTTGTTTGTTAATAACTTGCCTCTTCTTAAAAACTGATATAAACCCTATATTAAAGTGATCAAGATGTATTACTACAAAGGGAAGGGAATTTGACGATAGGAAAGTCGAAGTCATCACGTTTATCAGAAAGTCTTGTTTCTCATTAACATCTTTTTATAATTTGATAAAAAGGACAGAGCAGTGTAACTCATTTTCGAGCACACAGTTTTCTGATGTCTTTGAGGAGTTTAGAAGTCTGCCGAATCAATACAGGAGCATCAGCCAGGGCCATTCCAACAAGAAATAAGGCAATAAAGACAGCTCCCACGTAACCTGTCACGGAGGCTGTCGGCCGCTCGTCGTCAGCGCTGATCTTCTTGTTCATTGTGGAGGAGAGATTCTTTGTGTTGACGCTGAGGAGGCGCTTGTGTTGAGCCAACCTTTCACTCAGTTCAAAGTATTGTCTCAGCTGGTTTGTCTCATTTCTCCAGTACACGATTTTGTCCATGTAGTCACAGGAACAGGGGCACATAGCTACGAATGTAAACAAAAACTGGTACTGAAGAAAAAGGAATCAACATGGTTTTAGTATTTGACTTGTAATTTTTAACTGTTTTTTAGTAGTACATCGATGAAGAAAAAATGATATCAAGCTACAATAATAAACAAAAACTGTTACTGAACGAAAGAAATCACCATGGTTTCAGTATTTGATTTGTAATTTTTAAGTTTTGAAGTTATATTTCGGCGAAGAAAAAAGATCATCTATTTTTATTTTTTTTTCTTTAAATATGGCCATTTTTAATCATAAAAAAATTTCACAGAAAGTACAGTTTTTGCTCATGAAATCCGTTTAATCAATTATTTTTACTAATTTTTTGTCTTATACTGTCTTTACCTATATATTGACCACTTAAACCTTCAAAAAAGCTAATAACACTGGTTAGCGGAATTGTCGACTACAGTGAGCCTAATCATGGCAGGACTTGGCAGGACTTTAACAGGTATATTGGTGAAATAAAGTATTTGCATTATTATTGTAATTATTGTGTTATTATGATAACTAGTATCATCAAAGCAAATTCATTTAAGAAATAAGGTATAATTTTTAAACCCGATAGATGTTTTAAAATGGTACCTTATTACTTATATTTACATTTGTGAATTATTCATACTTTATACATGTATTTGCTTGATTGTGACTTATTACGTGTGAAGTGCGTTATTTTTCAAAGCAAACGGCACGTATGTAATCCACTGAACGCGCATCGACCCTTTATGACGTCACAGAGAAATTACGTCGAACGTTTATCCATACGAACATCTATGACCTCTTGACCCTGTACCTGTATTTATACAGTTATAGATACGCATTGTTTCAGTAGTGTTATATAGAGGAAAACATTTGCAAATGTAAATATTTATAATTATTCACAAATTTTAAGCATTCCCAAATTGCGATTAGATATTTAATATACATTTCTTTTACTTATAACAAAACTTTTTGTTTTTTCTCCTCCTGTACCGGTTGGTGTTTGATCTTCCACTGACGTCACCGTGGAACTAGGGATAGCATTTGTGGTTACTGTTGTTGATGTTGTGGCTGATTCTGACGTTGGTGATAGCGATGTTGTTGGATCCTCTTTTTTAAGATGAAATGATAATAATAGTGATTAACAGTGATATTTCTTGCTGCTTTAGGAATTAACTTGCCATTTAATCAAGAAACATATTAAAAGCGCCGAGGCATATCAGCTATGAATACTAGTATCCCAATAGCATGTCTTAACTTTTGCCGTTTTAATTATTTTTTCAAGGCTTAGTAATGGTAAATCTAACTTTAACTTTAAAAAATATTTCCAAAAAAAAAATTAATAAAAATAAAGGACTTTAATATGACTTCAACAATTAATTCTCTCATTTTGAAAACAATTAAACATTGCTCTTCATGTTTTAATGATAATCTTTATCTAAAGACAGAATTCTTATAAAATTCAATGAAATAAACATAATCAAGGGAGTCATCTCTGGTTCCTAAGGTTATAAAAGTATTTCAAAAATGTTTTAAATTATTATCAGTAGAAAAAATGAAAGATAGAATAACGAATAAAATTGTCACATTGTATATTTTATATATGATCCTCTATTATTGTAATATGGTCTGTTACAACGCAAAATGTAATAACAACGCAAAATGTAATAAACCTGGATTATTACATTTTTCTTATTACATTTTGCGTCGAGATCAACGCAAAATGTAATAACTTTTTTTTTTGTTGTTACATTTTGCGTTATTTCATTTTTTGCACTGAAGACAACGCAAAATGTAATAAAACAATATGTAATAAAAACAAAATATAATTAATTTTTTTGATTGCGTTTAACAAAATAGATGATAAAATTGATTCAAATATATACATGTAACCAACATAGGAAACACGGTGTACAAAATATTTAGAACTAAAACAATGAGACCAACGTTAGGGCTTTTACGGACATTAATACATCTAAATGTATCGTTTTTCTGACTCTGACTTTAGATATATTGAATACACTGTACTTAATTATAAAGCATTAATTTAACTTTATTTGGCATATTTTTGATCGTCTTATTAAAGTTTTAACCAATAACACATATAATTACCAAAGACTGACATAGGTCCATTAAAAGCTCTTGCATGTTCGGCATGTGTACATTGAATAACAAATAAGAAGTGTATGTGTGTGTCAAGCGAGGAGGGGCAGGGATATGGTGGGGTGTTTACTTCGTATATTTATTATTGTATTACTATGGACATGCAGAAACAATGCAATATTTGATGGCAAGAAAGAAAGAGAGAGATAATTTTGTTTTTGCTTGTCTGCAATGCTGGTGATTTGCATGGAACAGTATGGTAACATAAATGTCAATAAACCCTTTCCCGCTGTATGTTTACATCTGCCAGTACAAATGATTAGGTTTTTTAGATTCCATGCATTTGGCTATAAAAAAGCAAAAGCACACTGGTCAATTCCCCCCTTCCCCCAACAAGTTAATTAAATCAATATATCATAAAATTCATTAATTGTAAGAAATTGCATATATCTCTTTTTCCATTTTGTTTTATTTTATTTTCATCGGCCACTACTCTATTGAAAATTGTACTCAATCTGGCTGACCAAAAAGTGTGTTATTACATTTTGCGTTCTTGCTTTTTGCTTAATCTCGACGCAAAATGTAACAACGCAAAATGTAATAATCCAAAAATCATGTTATTACATTTTGCGTTGATCTCGACACAAAATATAATAACGCGAAATGTAATAATCCTCAAAAGTGTGTTGTTACATTTTGCGTTATAACATTCTGCGTTGATTTCAACGCAAAATGCAATAACGCAAAATGTAATAATCCAGGTTTATTACATTTCGCGTTATTGTTACATTTCGCTTTGTAACAACGGTCTTTATGAAATCTACCTATTTTTTTTCTCAATTATGTAATCAGGGAATTACTGGAATTTTTTTTTTCTTCTACAACTACTTGTATATGCATACGCAGCTTATGAATAAATCATTTATAGGAAAAATATTGAGTAAAGAATAAAATAAGCCACATATATTTGAGGAAGACAATAAATGTCAGTACATTAATGAATGTCATAGAATCACGCTTGATAACATAACAATAATACCAAAAAGAAGAAATTACCTGCAACTAACGCCGTGCAACTTTGATCATCTGTAATAGATACCCTTTGATAATAACTAAATATCACAGAAAAATGAAAGTAATGCAGACGTATTGCAATATGGTTACCAAAGAATAATCAATGTACATGTATATATATGTAATATAATGAAGGTTCAAATGAAACAAAAGGTTACATATTGATTGGTTAAAAAAAGAGAACAGTTGGCCACAATGCTTACCTCAGTAACCCAGTATCCTGCTTCTTTTCATTTAAGAAAAATTATTTCCTTTTCATGAACATACAAGAGCACCTCCTCATTATATAAACGTACATTCCAGTTCTTAGGAATTATGACATAACAAATGTGAGCTTGCAGTTCTGAAGATTTTTCAACTGAATACTGTAGTATGTATGATTTTCAGCATTAGAGTAATTGCCCTAGTGTCCATTATCAAAACATCTCAACTTACACCCAAAAAACATGGAAATATTTGTGGAAAATTACACGTAAACTTTGGTCATTGTTGAATCCTTCACTGATATCGTGGTATATATTAAGCAAAAAATACATGTACGAGGGTTGATCCAAAAGTAATGTCACAGTGTCCATATCTTTTATGTTTGGCGTCATATTATCAAATACAATTCACCAAAAGATGCACAAATATAAATCTAATTAACATTGAAAGTTTAATTAAATAATGTTTATTTGAATTTATTTTATAGATGTTTAAAACATAGAGCATAGGGAATGTCGCCGCGTCACAACGAAACGACGTCACGTTTTAAAGTGTATATTTTCTGACAATGAAAAAGACAAACACATTAAAAAGATTCTAAAAAAGCACCTAATCTCCCAAATTTTTTTTAAAGACACACTTCTCGTCATTTTCTAGTCTTTAATTGAAAATTAAATGACGGCATTGGTATTTGTAATCATAAAAATATTGTTTTACTCTGTTGAATTGAACAAAGGGATTGTCGAAATTGGGAAAAAAGGCTCGACGATTGTAATGCATTTTTGCTTCAAAATATGGGAATCATCACTAGCAACATTTTCGTTATTCAGTCAGACTTACAGAATAAAGAATGTAAATAAGAGCGACTTAATAGATGGTTTCAGCAATTTTGGGCGGGTGATTGGTCACTGAATGATTTGTAGAGGACAAGAAGACCGAAGATAGGAGATCGGACGGACACGTTCAATGGTGTCTGACGTTGTTAAAAGTGACAGACGTATAGAGTGACTTGTGAATTTTTAAATTTGTCTTATGCTATTGTTAAAAAAAAATTGACAGAGGGCTTAATTATGAAAAAAGTGAGTGTATAATAGTACCAAGAATTCTTAAAGATAGTGAAATTGGTGAAAGTGTTTGCGAATTACAAATATTGTTTAATGAAACGAAGGGGAAACGCTTTAAAGTATGACGGTGTGTATCCGTCATATGACGTTATATTTAGGTGCGGCGACTACCATAAACGTGCATTGATTAAAATCCGATATTTTGAAAATTATACATCATATTCCTTTGAATTTTTCAGGTCTGATTTGAAATAATTAACGCTTCCATCATGTATAATTTTGTTGCTTTACGTCGATTTATAGCAATTTTATCAAAGTTGTGACATTACTTTTGGATCAACCCTCGTACTACAAGCAAACAAGCTCAACATGTCTGCATATTATGTTTACTGTTTTCTGAGATTTATAAAGTTGTTTTCCTATATGTAAGACTTTAACTTTTATTAATTGTGACCCTTCTATCCCCTTTACAGGAAATGTTTCTAATGAACGTGGACCTGCATTACATGTGTTACATGCACGTTCACCAGACAATTTATGGTCAAGCTGTTCTTATGAAGATCTTTTTTGTCTTTACTCATATATTTTCAAGTTAAACTAAGATACACACAGTAGTTCCTCTGTTTATCCCCATGGGTCTCACATACATTAAGAAATTTTCCATAGGTATCATCATTTCCCCTGTATACATGTAGCTCTGTAGACGAAGTGAAGGATATGGAGATAACGAACAGTATTGAATATAAAAGTCCATAAAACATTACAAATTAGGAGCATGGCAAATACGGACCTCCAAAACACAAGAGGTGGGTTCAGGTGCCATGAAGGAGTGAGCGTCCCCTACCGACCGGTCACATGTACACCCGCCGTGTGCTCCTTGTCATGATCAGGAAATAACGGAAAAATTCGTGTTCAATTCGATGTATAAATAATGGACTAACAATTAAAATGAACAAGAGGCCCACGGGCCTTATAGGTCACCTGAGTATCATGTAACAACTTTCCAGCAATTGTATTTGGTTCGTGTTTTAATCCAAAAGCCATGAAATTCACAAATTTTGAAAGAGACACCATTGCTTATCAAAGGGCAGATTTCAAAGCATTAATTTATTTTTAGTCAAAGTACCCCCCTGGTACCCCTGACCCAGCGGCCCTGAAATCATCTATTTTGAAAGAGGCCCCTTTCTTCACTATAAGGCCAGCATTTTTTTATGTTTAGGTTTAGTTATGAACATGAGAATAAAAAAGTCCCAAAGGAGAAGGAAATAAAATTGTTTTTTGATAAATCAATTATTAACATTTGTACATTCTTTTTTTATGCTATCCTAATAGGCTCCTTACCACTGGACACATAATGCTTACAAATAGGAAAGTAGAACATTTAATTGCTTATTTCATCATCTGCCAGTTTGGGCCAGTTATATAAATTTTGTGATGTTGATCAAAATATATTTTAAAAAATCAATTCTTTAAAGGTCTTTCAATATATATTCATTTTTTAAATATGTTTTAGGTAAATGTGTAGACATTGTTCTAAAATTTACTTCATCCCTAAAATTATAATTCCTATCATAAAACAGACAGGGAGTGTATTGGAGAGTAGGGAGAACATTTTTTCAATTAAGTGTAAAATAATATTTCTGGCTGATACAAATGATACTACATGCCTGTATATATTTGTATATTCTTGCCTTTTGATAGTTGAATTTTTTTTTATTTCTTCAGGTTATTGTTTATTTCTTCCTCAAATGGACTTAACTTCTCCCATAGTTTTATTCATTACATCTGATGCATAAGCAACCCTTTTCTGAAGAATGATGCTTAGACTGTAAGCTATAACAGAGACCTAAACAATGTCGCTGGCAATATGCAATAGCTACCACGGGCAGTTTAAAACCTGGGGGAGGAAAATAATTTACACACAGTTACTTTTGAAACGAATACATAATTATCTCACCAGCATGTCACTGTGCAACAAAGTTGTCAGCATTTTATTTGTCCTTTGAACGGGTGAAACGTTTTGAATGGCACTCTTATAGATGAATTTTACACTAACCCAAGCTATCTTCTCAGATCTAGCTTTATTTGCCCGCCGTTTCATCGTAAAACCGGAAGTGCGAGTTCGTAAATTTGAAATCTCGATCCCGACTCAAATTTGACATCGGAAAGAAAAAAATTGTTTTATTTTTTTTTTCTGAAAATTCAAAACCTTGAGCGGTGGGTTTGTAAAACTGAAAATAAAATAAATCCTGGCCTTAAATATGTAATTAGATCATTAGCATATTAACCAGGAGCAAAGGATAAGATGTTCAAAGAAATCATGCATTTCACTATATAATCATTAGAGCCCCACCCGAAAACAAGAACCCCTGACCCTGGGGCCATAAAATTCACAATTTTGGTAAAGGCCCTCTTGCTTATCATAACTATGTACTTAGTTAGTTTATTTAATACCCAGGAGCAGAGAAGAAGATTTTCAAAGAATTCATGTATTTTCACTATATAATCAATAGAGCCCCGCCCTAACACCAGAACCCCTGACCCTGGGGCCATAAAATTCACAATTTTGGTAGAGGCACTCTTGCTTATCATAACTATGTACATAGTTGGTTTATATAATACCCAGGAGCAGAGAAGAAGACTTTCAAAGAAATAATGCATTTTCACTACATGTACCTACTTATTTAGCCCCGCCCTAGCACTAGAACCCCTGACCCCAGGGCCATGAATTTCACAATTTTGGTAGAGGACTCATTGCTGGTTACAATCATGCAAACAGTTTGACTGCTTGATGTCCATGAGTAAAGAAGAAGATTTTTAAAGATTGCATTAATTTTAGTGGTTTTGGCCCCACCCCTCAGGCCCCAGGGGGACAGGGATCATGAAATTCACAATTTTTGTTCCTCTTCACCAATAGATGCTTTGTGCCAAATTTGGTTGAAATTGGTTCAGTGATTGCAGAGAAGAAGATGAAAATGTTCAAATGTTAACACACGATGGACGACGGACGACGCACGACGACGGACGAAAACAGATAGCAATAGGTCACCTGAGTTTACTCAGGTGACCTAAAAACGTCCGTCAGCATGACTTAATGATAAATTGTTTTTGCTGATTCATTGTATCGACCATAGAATTTACGAAATATTATTAAAAGGTCTCGCTATGGCCATATTTTTTCTTGAAAGACTGCAGAGTCCTTAAAATGAATAAGCTTAGCTGAAATACTAGTAGTTGAACCTTCTAATTTTGAGAACTTACTGTTGATATATACTGCAAATCACAATTTTGTTCAAGAGAACGTTATTCAAAAGAAATGTGCTTGCGAAAATTTCGCTTACGCTTTTTTTTAAGTATAGATTGAAACATGGAGATAACGCATAGTATTCAAGATCAGTAGTCCGTAAAACAATACAAAATAGTAGCAAAGCAAACACGGACCTCTGAAACATCAGAGGTGGGATCAGGTGCCATGGAGGAGTGAGCATCCCCTGCTGACCGATTACACCCGCCGTGTGCTCCTTGTCATGATCGGGAAATAATAGAAATATCCGTAGTCAAATCAGTGCTTATATAATGGACTATCAATTAGTATGAAAAACGTTAGTCAACATTTGACTCATTGATAAATTGTATTGGTAGACAAGGTAATTGTATTGGCCATAGAACTTACAAAATGGTGACTTAAACGAGACTGCTGAAATTACAATTACACGAATTCCTGAAATCTGGTCCCGCTAAAAATGCCGAATATCTATCTCCAAAAAAAATAAGCCATGGCAAAGTTTAATGATCTAGGCCTACATAAATGAAATATCATTAATAATGCGAAAATTCTAAGAAAAATGCCCGGCATATGTCTTCAAACTTTTTCGGTTTCTGTTTTTAGGGCTAAATATACAAATACGAGGGTCATTCAAAAAATACGTGGACAATGTTCCTAATTATCAGATAATTTTTACAAAATTTAAGATCAACATATTTTTATATGTAAAAGCATATATCTTATCGATTTGCCAAGCTTTATTCAATTTCAATCAATGGAACTCATGTCAGCCAGTTTTAAAAGCAACGTGTTTTATCGCCACGGAGCACGGCTAATAACATTGTAACGTCAAAAACAACCTCCAGAAAGTTTTTCAAACTTACGCTGTTTTTATTCCAATTATACTCGGTTTGAAGCGTCTTCCCCATTAATTAAAACGTATCCATAACACTTGACACCTAGTTTGCTGTCAATTATTTGATTACTTTTAGTTAGATTGTCATTGTTTTCGAATTTATTACCCGTGTAACTCTGCTTTTAAAAGTTCCGCGCGCGAGTAAAGCACACATCACGTTTCATGACGTTACTAACTTTTTTGACAAGATTTTGAACCATAAACTGTTTCTGTGCACACCGTCCATCGCCCGAATCAAAGTCTCTACTACTCAACGATTAAATTTTCCATTAAAACAAATGCAGGGCTCATTTCATATAGGGTGAGTTCACCATGCATCGGACACATACCTTGCTTCGGACAACTTTAGGCAATAAACTCTCTTTCTACTTAAGAGTTCTGTGTATTTATTTGTTTCTGTCATAAAGACGAAGATTTAAATTTTTTAATGATACCGATTGTGTTTATCATGTTGTGATAAAAATACCCCGCAAATGGCCTTGAAGTTACGTCATATTTTACATCATCAAAGGGGAATAACCCGAAATTTATGATGTTGTAATTTTTAGAGTTATCGTTCTTTTAAATTCGACTTCCACGGAACGAGTCGGACTTTGGTGAATTTTGTCAGGGATTGGTAATTTTACATAAATTATAATTAAATTTCACTTCAATGTTTGTTTAATTCTTATTAGAGCTGGTTTTTACTAGTATGCTATTTTCACCGTACATCGGACACAAATTAACCATGCATCGGACACTTTTCGATGCAAAGGTAAGCACTACCATTTTCATACAGAACCCAGCTGACAGCTGTTTTTTGCGGAAAAAGAAAATAAAAACTCTATATTTTCAGTCAAAATACAAGTTATCGATATATGACGTCTGGAATTTTACTCAATTTATTTCTTCAAACCAGAGTATGATAAACCATGAGAAAAAAGGCGCGAATTACGGCACTATAAGCATTTTAAAGCATTTCTAAGACAGAGTGAGGTATCGAGAATCGTTCTACATTTGTGCAATAATATCGTCGATTTAATTAAAGTTGAGGGTTATTTCATAGATAAAGATTAAAATATATCCATATCAAGGATTTTAAAGCACTGTGATAAAGGTATGATACTTTTCCGGTCTCCATACCGTCTGTCCGATGCATGGTGAACAATGTCCGATCCATGGTGAATTTTCAGTTTTTTCTAAAAACTCGATTTTCGGGGATATTTTCTCAATAAACGGAATATATTTGTGTCCTAAATTGTTATTTTAATCACAAACTAAATGTTGAACTCCATTTTGATAATTTTCCGTCCGTAGCGATATTGCTAGAACTTGTTGAAGTACAAGGGTATCCGATGCATGGTGAATTCACCCTACTGTAGACGTACTTTTTTCCACGGGGTCATAATTCCGCGGAGTCTCAATTTATGTTAAATCCGCGGGTAGAAAATTACGCGGATTTCTTAGACTGTCATACATGCCATACATTTATATTAAGTACGCTAGGACAAATTTCCGCGGAAAGTTTGTGTCCGCGTACATAGCGTAAATTAATACCACGCGGAAAAAAGTACTTCTACAGTACCAGTATATTGCATATATTTCCTTCTGCATTTTCAGAGTTTGTTTTAAAAGTTGCCGATCGCAAAACACATTTTTATTGCTTCTCGCTGCTCCGTGACGTCCTTTGGCGTCATGGTTTTCTTTTTTCTGTTTTTTACCAAGTCTATCTGTCTTTAGAAATTGATATTTTTTAAACTAAGCAAGGTATTTCATTGCCTTTTAGCTTATGAAATAATAAAACAATACTTACTTTAAGTATTTAGATTTTATTTCCTTAAAGTGCCATTTATAAGATATATGGCTATAAACATTTTAAAGTGTATAATTAGGCCTAAAAAAATATGTTTGTTTCCTGTAACCCGACCGACCCATTGAAATTATCCCCGGGTGGATTTTTTTTCTGACAAATGGCAAAACTTCGTTTGATCAATCAGCTGATTCCATTTATTAAATTTAAAAAAATAGCTTGTAGCTTAATTTGAGACATAAAATATGTCAAGTTAGTGTACATTTACCTTAAATATAAAGAGTAATCATTATTGTAACAACAGTTTCCCTCTACAACTTTCTGAAGTTCGTTTTCTGTCGCTTGGCAGCCATTTTGGATGCCATATTGGGTGTCCACTGTAAATATAACACCTGGTATTTTCGGACCGGGGATGTTTGACCATTCATAAGCAAAAAAAAAAGAATTTCCGACCTACCGACCCTTGATTTTTTGGGAATGTTACAGGAAACAAACTTTTTTTTAAGCCTTAGTAAATAACTCAATTTTGACCCTGCTCCGTGACCCCATTTTTGCTGTCTTAAATCTTTAATAATTGTGATGAATATCAAAATATGCTTTTATCTTTTTACTAAAAATATTTGAATCTGTTGTTAAAATATGTGTACCAAGTTTGGTTGTAATATGACGTTAAATAAAAAGTTACTAGTATTTCAAAAGTCTACGAATTTTTTGAATGACCCTCGTACATGTGACCAATGCAGAAAAAACAATACCTTTTGGTTATGAAAAAACTACTCACCTGATAGTGCCATCTTTCCCCCGCTTGAAAGCAACGAAACAACTTCTACAACAATCAAACACCATAAAATAATGTTTTGAGTACACATTATGTAGGAATTTGAATAGACGTAGGAATTTGAATAGGCGTATTTATTTCATATTTTCATGAAAGAAATGCAAAAATTAATTAGATTCAAATGTCAGAAAACGTAATGTTTCTGAAATAAATAGAATAATAATTACAATTTTAACCCTTGAAGAATACCATAGGTTTTAATATCAAATATACATACTCTGATGTACGTGCGGGTTAATACACTTTTGAATTGGGCTTCCTGTAATGATAAAGTAAATCAAATTTTATAAATTGGTGGGGGAATATAATCTAACCATTTACTGATTTAGACAATCCCGTGCACTATCTCATGATTACGAATAGTTAGTACAGTCCTGTCCAAAAAGGTGTGTATTTTTTCTTATGTCTCTTAAGGTATGTCACTCGTGAAATTTGTTAAATCGAGGATTTTTTGAGAAGTATATTTTGAATAAGTACTCATAGAAAGTGACTCAAAATCGCAGAGAAAATAGGCGTTCAGTGTTCATCTTACTGATCTATGGTACGATGAAGTTGACCTTTTTGCACTTAAATTTTAACTCTTTGGTTAATTACTTAAACCCTTATTATATTTTATCAGATGTGACCATGGCAAAAAATATCATCTTAATTTATGTAAAATATTTTTAATAATATTTATCATTGAAAAAATCTTGCAAATTAATGCGCATAAATTATTGTATGACCTTTTTGCACTAAAAAGTAACATATTTAGGGGTATTAAAAGACTAAATAGGCAATAAAACATTTTCTTAAATCAAGCTTTTTACGACTTAAGTGCTAATCAGTCACAAGTATCGAGTACTTTGAAATAATGAAAGAAAATGTTGGGGTCAGTGATGTTAATTTTGAAATGTTGGTCAAAATATGTGATTTTCAGGCAAAAAATTGTGTTAATTTTATATTGACTTATTTGACATTTCTTCATTTTTTGGCAAAGTTTATTGAAGGAAGGTGTAAAACTTGTTATAAAAATATAAATTAAGACCTATATTAAATATTCCTAGCAATATCATAATGGAAAATATTTTCCGAGTAAAAGTATGTGACGCTGTAAGTCCAAGATATTGAATTTAATGAATGTGCAGATTTGCAGAATTATCTGCTAAATATCCTTCCATCACAAAAAATAGTCCCTCACAAATCTTGCTTCTTTGTAGCTTTTTGAGCAGTTTTTATGTTGAATGTTAAAACATGAACATTGTTGAAATTAAATATGTTATAAAAATTGAATTTTGATAAATAGTTTTGAAGTAAGAGGTTCTGCGTGAACTTTTCCAAAGAGCTGACGAGTGACCTACCTTAAAAGGAAATAAATAATATCTATCTTTCTCTGGAGCCACCGGTCACGGTAACCTAGTGGTAGAGCGTTCGCTTCGTGATTGGGAGGCCCGGGTTCGATTCTCGTTCGCGGCGCCGCGTCATACCTAAAACGTAAACAAAGGTAGAGACTGTTCCTTCGCCAAGCGCTCGGCACTAGAAGTGAAAGTCACGGGTCTTTCGGACATGACCTTAAAAACGTGGGTCCCGTGTCACGGTAGGCGCTGGTACGATAAAGAACCCTCACTGCTCAATGGCCCTGAGTGCCGAGTATAGGTCAAAACTTGAAACCCTTCACCGGCATACGGTGACGTTTCCATATGAGTGAAAAATTCTCGAGAGGGACGTTAAACAATATAAATCAATCAATCTCTGTAGCCATTGATAAATAAATGTAATATTCCTAAAAAATTTACTAGAAATAGGAAAAAAAATCAGAAATAAGAAAAGAAATATTGACATTACTAACTGTAAGCAAGGTGAGAGAACGATCATAGGCATTTATGCCTGCTGTTCAATCTATTTCTAAACGAATTGACAGGTCGATTTACAGTTTGATATTTTTAAATTAAGCAAGGTGAAAAGTCCATTAAAATGATACAAATCGAGAGCAAAGCAAAATACGGATATTAAAATAAATCAGCGGTTGGGACAGATGTCATAGAGTAGAAAACATCCCCTGCAAATCGATCTCATCAACCGCGTGTGCCCTGTCATGACCGGATAAATGAAATTGTACCTAAACAAGCCAGTGTATCAATCATGATCTATCATTAAGTATGTAAAACGATATTTATATATTACTCGATTTAATGAAAGATTGATTTTGCTGAAACCACCATTGTATCGACCAGAGAACTACGAACGTTTCCTTTATCATTAATTTTTTATATAAAAAACCCAGAGGTATCCAAAAGTCCTTGTGGACAAAAAAATCAACGTCAGTATAGAATTACTCAAAGTTTTTTTGATTGATGAGAGAACTTTTCAACTAAACTCTAATTTTTATTTTCAGTTCGATAGAACTTCTTGGGTCAGACAAGCATTCTATGCTACAATAAAACGAAAATGGGGGGGTGGGGTGGGTGGTATGTATAACAATTTGTATTTGTCCCCACTTTTATACACTTCAAAACCTTACGCATGCACATGTAATTACAAAACCCAACAGTTGACAATCGCTGGAAAAAAAAAATAAAGAACTTGATCAATGTTTTTTTTTTATGTATAAATCAACTTTAATGAACAGATGTTTAAAAATGTTTATTCCTTGCATTTTATTAATTTGTTTATTTAACTGTTTTTAGACGTGATAACTCATAGAAAAATGTACACCTACTTAGCATGTGTTAAATGATGTTGAACGTTGAATAGTAAGAATAATAGTAATGGTGTTCTTGTATTTCTTTTATTTACAAAAGTCTTCTCACCCTGTGTTCCGGATCAGAGTCTTTATCACTGGTAAAATGTCTCTTGCCAATAACGAAAGCTGATTTATTTTAGGATGATATAAAAATGAAAAGCTGGACTCATCTTTGTTTTAACTCTGTTTTATTTTTTGGCCTTGTTATTGGTATCATTATGAGACAGTGCTTTGAAATCATATTTGAATTTTTTTATTATATATAATTTGATTTTACAAATTAAATAACTTTTCTTTGGATTAACTGCAGTATTTCTAATTTAACACATGACTTTTTATTTGAAATGTATTAAATGAATTAATAATTCAAAAATGACTGAACACTTTGAATCCAAAAAACTAGTTGGTTCTATCACAACCTTTTTATTATTTTTTTAAAAAATTATTATTAATGCCCTAATTAATTTAGTAGAATCTTACATTCGGTGTTAAATTATTATCCGCTTTCTAATGTTTAAATACTCACCACTAATACATGTGCATACGTTATAAAAGGAATTCACCGTAGACATAATTTCGCTTATAGAAGAAACAGTTGAAGAATACCACAATCCAGTGTAGCACAGACATAGGGCATCTTTGTTACAGTTTCCCCAAAATTGTTCTACGTCACAGACTGGCACATCTAAAAGAAGATAAACAAAATACACAAAATATACAAAATGCCTGTACTTTCCGAATTAAAAGTAACATTTGATTCACGAATGATACTCATAGCAAAGAATATCAAATGACTTGAAAGATTAAATGTTTAACCTACTTGGACCGAAGAAACCACATGTATAATTCGGAAAACAGAGCACAATAAGGAGGATAGTTAAATTGAACTTGAAATACGACATTGCAAAGAACTAATGTATTATGATTGCAACAAAGGAGGCTTTTGTCATAAAAAGACCGATTCCCTGACAACTGCCATAGAACAAGGGAATATTCAATACCACATCTGTTCTAGTTCAGTGAAATCTAATTATGGTAAAGGAATAAATTTTCGATCAGATAATAGCGGTTTTCAGGAAATTGTTATTTTAATTTTTCATTAGCAAAAGATATTTTTCATGTACACTGTACATAGATATTGTTGGATATTTTTTTTTTTGTTTCTTGTCAGTTTCTCTTTATATAATAACATTATAAATACTAAACTATTTTCGCATAGTGGTCAGGGGTTTAATTACATAGCATAAGCATACTATGCAAAATAGTGAACGGCTTCAGTTTCTAAAGAAAATACGGCATTGCGTGGATCGAACTCACGACCCCGAGATTATCAGTCAGGTGTGCCACTGATTTAGCCAGAGACACCATTTGCTAAAACTATGTATTTTTAAAATATCCTGGAGGAAATACGTCCTGGGGGGATTTTATAATTAATTTATTTCTCTATTATTCTACGCTCTCTGATTGACTCAAACATGATCATTTGATCAAGTATATAAAAAATTATAGACTTGTTTTACTATTTATAGAATCTTATGTAACCGGAAGTAAAACTCGTTAGTGTATAAATTACCAAAGTTACTAGCCAACTTGGCTTAAAGGAGTAAACTATCTCCAGTTATCAATGATCAACCCAGGTAAGGGGATTTCTGAACTATGGTCAACGCTATATGAAAACACAGTTGTAAGTTTTATCAATTTGATAAAGTGAGAATTAACCGTTGTAAATGATAACGAATAATAAATAATGATCAAAATTTAACAAGCAGAAAAGTCTTAGAAATTGCACAGGATTAATAAAGCTTTATGAAAAAAATGTAATTTGATCTGGTAAGTGAATCACAATAATCTCAATGAATAAACTCAATAAATATTGAAAAATGAAACAGAAAATGGGAGGCATGTGGAAAGACTATGAAAAATAATTTATGTCCCTACTGAGCTTCCATACTGATGAAAATGGTCAAAAAACCTATAAAATCAATGAAATAAAAAAAAAAATCTAAAGGGAATGAGCTACATCACCCAGTATGACACTATCAACACTCTAGAGTTGAACTGAAAATATCAATACTAATTCTAGGCTCTAAAAATAACTCACCCAGAAAATAAACAACACCCAAAAATAAATAATAAATGGTGGTTCTAGAAAATAGACCTGTTATCTACATATCCCTAGACTAGGCTGGACTTGGAAAGGGGAAACTAAATTTACTTCAAATAACCTACATCATAACTGTTTCCTAACATGTGGAAAACGTGAAACTAAATTTAAGCTAAGACCTAGAGAACTGTTAAACCATGAGGTTTTCTTAGCCCGCTAAGTATATAATCAAATAGTGCTCATAATGTTTTCTTAGCACAGAAAAGAGGAACTAACCATGAGGCTGTGTTCCCCAACCCAAGTGAAGAAAACTACACGAGCACGGGTTTAAATACCCTAGCTAAGCCCCAAATAAAAGCCAATGACTATCAAAGATCCTAAACTAAGTTAACCAATCAGAATGCAGCTATCAAAAGTACATACGGAAAGACTGCCAACATGGATGACACTTCCTGTTTAAAAAGTAAAACGTGGAATGTCAACTCATGTCTTAACTTACAAGTAGAGCTTTTTAAAAAGCTTACCGTCTTTAGCAACAACCTTAAACAGTAAACTGATCTACATCTTTCAAGTCGTATAATTCTTTTGAATTTCTTGATTTCGTATTTCTACATTAGCTTTTTACTGGTATTAACCCTACCGCGGTTGTGGCTCGGTCATCTCCGTAAACTGACCGAGACCTTCGGCAAACCCCGGCCGATTCCGTTAAATGTTTCTTCAAACAAATAAGGCGAAAAGAATAAATACAAATTGTAAAGCCAGCAAGCAATAAAAATCAAATCTTATTTGCAACTTGATGAAAATAAAAAGACCTTTTTAGTTATTGCAATTAAATATATTGTTATTTAGAATTAATTACTGCTGATTTTGTTGTTCATTTTGTCATTTTTTTAAGATTGGAAATATTGAAAAAAAATTGGTAAGTCGTACGAAAATTAGACCATCAGAAAGTTATCTCCCTTGCCTTGAACAGCATTTCAACCAATGAAATAATTGAAAAGAAATACGCACGCTAACTCTCGATTCCCGCCTACATTTTGGAACCATTTAATACAAAGTGAATAGCAATTTGGCCATAAAATCTTTGTTTAATACAAAGAACAGTTCAATGGTAATTGATGAATTGTCTTAATACCACCGCTAAACAGTAAATTATCCATAATTCCAGCTCTTGAAAAAAGGGGGGTAGACGATATTTTCCATTGAAATCGGAGTTTCAGGCATCACCATATTTTGAAATAGTCTTGGATATGATTAAATGTTCCTTATATCTTTTCTTTTGTCTTAGGCAAATAAATAAAACATAAATATATCAGGAAAATATAATGTTTCAGTTGTAAATCGCTTTGATATTGGTGGAAAATAAACATTTTTATCCTTTTTTTTTTTTTTTTGTCGATAAACATATGTTCCCTTCCGTGTCACACAAAAAAACTTTGGAATGAATTTGTGAAATAACATTCCATATTACCCGTAAAAAGGAATTTTTGTGACACGGGGGGGGGGGGAGAGATGTTTTAAAAATATTTTCCGTTTTCCGTTGATTTCTATAGTGAAAAACACAAGTTTTACCAAAATTTTAGAGTTATCTCTCTTTGTTTTCCCAAATAAGTAATTTTTATGAAAATCCATATAATTATCTATAAAAAATATTAAAAATTCATCAAAAATGTTAACTTTTGAAAATTGACTTGGAGGTAGGCAGGAGAACAATACTATCGTTCGCAGTTCTTTTCTCATCATGCAATTTCTACCAATCACAAAAGAGAGGAAGTGCATAGTCCGAAGACTGTAAAAAAAAAACTTCAACTATATAATACCGTCTTCCAAGGAAGACGGTAATAAAAGACTAATAATAAAGGACTTTTACGTAAGTAACAACTGAAAACAAAAGGTAAATAGAATTATCTGACTGAAATATCATCAAATACTTGTAAAATAGGAATTACGAAACGATGGCTATGAAATAAAAATCTAAATCACTACACTTAAAATATATCGACTTGAAGTCTATAAAATGTCGAATCAATACAAGATCATCAGCCAGGACTTTTCCAAAAAAGGTTCTAAAGGTAACTCTCATATATAGTAGTACCCTGGTATGTAGGCTGATAGTTCCTCGTCGTTAGCTCTTATCTTTTCGAGTGTCTTTTGTTTGTGTTCACGCTGAGGAGGTGATTTAATTAATTGAGCAGACCTTTAACTCGGTTTACGGTACCATCTTGGATGGTGGATTTCATTGCTCTAGTGCTTGATTTTGTCCATATAAAGTCACATGAACAGGGGAACATAGCCTCAATGATCGCGGAAAAACATGTCGCCCGACTTGAACTTGAATGAAAATATTCATGTGCATGTGTTTTAAGTTCTGTTGAGCAGAAGTTTACCGTATGTAGTTATATACTATTTGTTAAAAATCATTTTCTATTTTAAAAGACCCCGAGAGATTTGAATACTAATAAGGAACCAGAAACAAAAGTTTCCATACATTTTTAAAATATCGGTCATGGTAGCTACATGTAAGTTGTAATGATTCGTGACCGTGAGACTTGAGACTCGATTCTAGTTCGTCGTGCGGCGTCAAACCTGATACATAATATATAATACACAGGCAGTGATCTTTCCTTCGCCAACCGCCCTTGTCACGGTAGGCGTTTCTTAGAAAAAGACTCTCATGATCAGTGATCAATGACCCCGAGTATCGTAAAAATCAAAATTTGAAACCCTTCATCGGTATATGTTGCCATCTCTATGGGAGTAAATACGCTCGAATTGACTGAATATTCTTAAATCACTTAAATTTTTGTATTAATATTTAATACAGAGAAATGTTACAACCGTTTAAATGATTTTAAGAATAACAGTGAATTCATAATAGAGTTTAAAATCATTTTTTCATATATATGTGTGGGTTTTGGAAACCAGATCTTCTAACAATCTATTAGAATTCCCATGGGTACCCACTGTGCCTTGTTATTAGCTGACCTATTTTTGTATTCATATGAAGCAATTTGTCCAAAATCTTATTCGTGAAATGAAGAAAACACTTGCTGTGGCCTTCAAAGTCGAGATATAGATTTATCGAGGACGTATTGTCGATTAACAATGTTTTTTTTCATTCTTATGTCGATAGGATATATCCCGGTGAGCTTGAGATAAAAGATACCACAGAGTGTGATACATCTGTTTCATATTTGGATATTTTACTTGAAAAAGACGTTAATGGTAATTTTACACCAAACGCGATGACTTTTCAATCTTCAAGGAGCTCTCGACGGGTATGCATGACCGATCGGCAGGGGATGCTCACTCCTCCGTGATACTTGATCCCACCTCTGATGTTTCGGGGGTCCGTGTTTGCTCTGCTCCTATTTTGTATTGTTTTATGGACTTTTTGAGCTTGAATGCTTCATTATCGTTATCTCCTTTTATTATATAGTCTATTTATAGTCCCTATATAATCTATATTAAAGCAAACAGTTCGTAACAATACATATTCAGCGGATTTAAGGCCGTATTTACCGGAGGGTCAATGCGCGTGCAACGGCATTGTGACGTCACAATCAAAGCATCAAATAACGTTGTAAACAGTGGTTGCAACGGCCGCAGCGAGCTACGTATCTGAGCAGAAAAACAATTATTCAAACCTACATGTATTTCAGGATTATTTTTTAACCTTTGGACGTCTTACATATAGCAAAACTCGGAAAGGAAAACACGGAGGTTACAACGAGTAATCTGGAGATTTTTTTTTATTTTCAACAATTGCAGATCGCAAATAAAAATGGTGT